GACTCCGATTTCCTTCCACTTTGTTAAGTTTTTTTTGTCTTCTTTTTTTTTTTTTTAACCGCATATCACATCAAATTCAGATTTTCGTGAAGCGTGTTCTCTTCATCTACGAGCCGATATTTTCAAAGCCACTTAAACTTCAGCTCAAATCTTTTTCCAGATGATTCACATTTGCTCAAGTCCTTAGATGGCTTTAAAGCTTCGGCTTACGAAAGAGCATGCCAGGAAACAGTGTTTGACATGGAGACTGAACTCATTTTCGTACATACTCTGAGTCTGCAAGCCTGAATTTGGGGGTGTGGGTGGGGGATTTTGGTGGGGGGGTGTGGCTGCTTACCAGCAGCTGAAAATAGCACATCACCTCTTGTTTATGTATTCTTTCAAATAGCAGCTGTTTTCAGAACCTCAAAGGTTGTCAACGAGGAACGGAGGAGCCGTGAGCAGGATGTGCTCAAACTTTTGCTTGACAAGCAAATAGCTGGAGTTGATAAAGGAGCTCCAACTGGCGTCTGATGTTAAGTGTTGACAACTGCAAATACTTAATGATCTTTTAAAAAAAAAATGTATTGGTCATTCGACAAACTTCGTAGTACAGCCGGGTTGTCAGAAGCTAAATCCACAGGCCGAATGCAGACAGTCAATGTTTGTAACATAATGTGGGGATAGAAGTTTAGAATTAACACGGGGCCAAATTAATCTTAAGGAGACAAAATGTGACAAAACCTACAGGGTTCAGGGTTTGCTGTGCAAAAACCCATTCAGCTCTGACCCATACTTTTACATCAGTTAATTTATACTGTGACAATTTAAAAAGCCCGATTGAGCTGTGCTCTCAGGCCCAGCTAAGCATGTGAATATGCTTACTGATATGGATAAAGGTGTCTAGACTAAAGCAAATGTACTACAGCTCGACAAGCTTTTATGTCAAACTGCCTATGCTTAAAGTTCCCTGGTGAATTGGTCGTTTTGCAAACATTATCCTGTCTAGTCTTGGAACAACATTTTTAGTTTGTGGATAAATGATGGACATCTTATGTGGCACAACAGTGAAGCTCATAAGAGCTAAAAGGGCTAATTAAAGGGCCCACGCCATCTCGGTTCAACAATTATGCTGCTGAATGTGTGCTTGGATTCTTCTAATGGCTGCCCCCTTTAGAAAAAAACATCCCCCCACCCCAGAGCCACCTGAGCCCCTCGAGCTGGGTCAGCTGCAGTATGCACTAGTTTTTTCCTTAAACATGTTACCAGCTTTAAAGCGAAATATAATGAATGTATGATTAATGATTTGGACCTTTTTTTTGTGTTGTTGTTCTTCAGTTTAATACTTTTCTTATGAAATGGTCCTTCCCGTGCTACTTTGTGAATGTTTTATTGTTCCTCACACTCCAAGTGGTTTGCCAGTTCTGCAAGAACATTTTGAATAAGCTTTAACAGCATTGTTTGGATTAAGTCAAAACTGGCAAGTGCATTGTGCCCTAAAAACATTACAATGTTCTCCAAAAATCTGTTCCATGACAAGTTGGGCTGCTGTCATTATCACTTCAACCCAACCCTCCTGCAGCTGTTTGCTTTTCAGACTTTTTGAACATTTATAGATTCTAGTCAGAAAACAGTGAAGGTTTTATACAGATGTTAAACCACAACAGAAAGAATTGCTTATTTTTTTCATCAGCATGCCCAAATAATTCCATTGTACAGACGTTTTAAATTTAATTCAAAGCCTTTGGAGTAAGGACGCAAGTTTTTTCAGCCCTAAGAGACATTCAAATACTCTCTTGAGAAGAAGCCATGACAATGAGAGTTGCTGTGTGTTGGATACTTCTTTTTAAAACAGACAAATGTGATGGTTTCAGCTGGAAAATGTGAGTAAACCTCCTCCCATTCTCCACATAACTACCTGTGTGTTATTATCTCCTGAGCTTGGAGTGTTCAGATTACAGGGTTTGTGTTGGAGCTTGTAACTAGTCAGCCCTGTGCATTCTTTCTTTTCATCAGTGCAGCTTGCTTAAATGGTTGGAATCAGTTTCAGGCGACAGCACACAGGCTAATTTCACTGAGCTTCACATCCAAGATATTGCCTTTAAAATGTCTGGATTGTAGGATTTGAATCATTCATATAGGAACAGGCAGGTAGATGTTTCAGTAGATCATATTTCTCCTGTGGGGCAAAATAAAAAATATTTTTCTTAACAGGTACAAGCAGCTTGAATTTTGTCCCTGAAGGTCCAAGGAAAAAGACAGTTTTGCATCCTGTTCCAGCAGGCCTAGGAATTTGTCAAGTATTAGTTGCGCTTTTAAGTGTTGTCTAATGACAATAGGGTCATGAATCTACCTGTCGCATACTTGAGAGATGACACAATCCCACCTTGCTGCACATACCATGATATATAACCCTTTATAGCTAAAAAAGTTGGGAAGCTGTGAGCATTGTGAGTAAAATTTAAAAGCTTTGATTTGCACATGTCGATATGCAAATGAAACGTAAAAACATTCCCTCATCTTTAATGTTAGCAAAACCTGGCCAACAAATGGCAGGAAAAGTAAAAGGTACTAAAAAGAAGCAGCTGGAGGAACATGTTGCAACAGAGTAGGTTCAGTAATATAATTAGGTAAAAAGAAGAGCACCTAAGAGAGGTGGAGTCTCTCACTGGTAAAGATGCACAGCATCTCACATTATGAAAGACTTTGATGTTAGATATATGGTTGAGTGATTCTATTGTCAGCTCCACACAGAGAACTGAACAGAAAATCAATACTGGATGCCTGTGATCTTCAGGCCCAAAGGCGAAGCTGCATTAAAAACAAGCGCAGCTCTGTTATGGAAATCAGTCCATGAGCTGAGAGACACTTCTGGAAATCATTTCTTGAAAGGTTCATCCACACCTGCAGGGTAAGGCTGCATTGCGCAAAGAAAATGTCAACCTAATCCAGAAAATGCTGGACTCTGTGGGTCCATTTTCTGGTCCTTTTTATAGCCCCAGACACTGTTATTGCTGGTATACTAGAATGTCTTTCCTCATGTATAAATCAGGAGAAAATGTCAGACTCTGTACACCAGCATTGCACTTACAGCATGATGGGAATCAAGAAGTTTGTGGGAAAGGCAATGAAAGATGGCCATTTTAAAAAGTTGGTCAGTGTTTCTGTATCCATTCACCATGTTTCTCTTATTAGCTGCAGAATTATTTGTTTCCTTCCTTTAGAGCTTAAAAAATTAATTGTGAATACAAACAGGATTTCTCTTTGGTCTCATCTCTCTTTTGTGCAGTTGTATGTCACAGTCTTCATCAGTTTTTACTTTTCATTCATTAGCTTTTGCTCAACTCTGACACAGTATTTTTCTATTCCAAAGGAGATGATAAGGGGGATTTCTTTGTTATGAATGAATGAATAATGAATCTAGTTTTGACCTAGTTTAGTTTTCCTGGCATTCTGTGTGACCACCTGGTTCATGCTCTTCAGGGCTGAACAAATGACATTTCCCACTAAATCTGAAGCAGCAGTGCAGAGCGCCGTCTCCACTGGCCGGTGTGTGTCGCACACACTCACTGCTCCGGTCTCTGAAATCACAGAATTCCACCACCTAAGGTCCTCATCATTGTTTAAAACTGTTATTGATTAAACTCGATTGCTCATGGTTGATTAAACTTCATAAAACATTCATTTCCGGCAAATTTCTAATCATATTAACACATTACAACTCCTCTATGAGGAGAAAAACTTTAATCCATAAAATGGTTGTTACATTAGGCCTTAAACACACATTATCTTTCTCTCCAGGGATGACATCTGCAGAGGAATAAAAATTTAACCACCAAATGAATTAAAACTGAAGACAGAGAGAAGCTCAGATGGAGCATATGCTGCAGTATTTGCAGATATAGCATTTTGGAACTTTACGATTTTTTTATGTATCTCTATCAAACAATCTTTGTCTTTTCTTTCTGTGATAAATTGGATTAAGTGGAACGGGCAATAAACTGCTGTGCTATGTGAATAAGAAACTGCGACACCACGCATTGTTCATTGTTGTAAGAGTGAGCAGTGATGAGAGGACAGAACAAAGATTGAAAATGCTGCAACAAGGTAGAAAAACAAGGTCAGGACCAGTTTATATAACACCCTCTTTGCTTTAAGCCTGAGTGCATGCAGCAGCAGAGGGTTGGGCTTACACTCAAATGCTTCAGCTACACAAATGAAAACATTGCACTCCCTCCCCAAAGGGTCTGTCCTAAAATGAGAGGGACACACATCACAAGGAGCAAACTGCCACATCTCAGTTCATCTTTATCCCCATCTGTGGATGGTCTCAGGGACAGGACCTCATTTGGACGGCCTCTTCAGCCTACCGGCAGGTAGATAGGCTCCGAATGTGCATTATGGTGGAAACACCCCCCCGCTGCTTATTGTCCTCTCTACTGCAGGAGGTGGTGTCTGAGAGCAGACAATAACTCAACGTGATTGTTCATTTCAGTTCGGAATAACTCATGTTCACTCAGCCTGTCACCAGACTCACTCTCATTAAATACCCTTTGCTCCAGAAAGTCTCTGAGAGGATGGCTTCCTCCGACAGGGTTATTTATGTAGTTAGATTCACCAGAAACAAGGCTTTTTTTATGTTTTCTAAAGAATTACAATTAGTTTGGAGAAAGTTCTGCTCTCTGTAATATCAAATCCTTTCTTCTTTGTTTTTTTTGTCATTTGTGAGGTACAACTGAGGCAACAGCAACAGACTTGAAACACAAATTCACAATTGCAATTGGATGTTTCCCAAACTTGAGATGACTTATGCAGAAATGTTTCTTTCAGAGCTTTGTGGACTGTGTCATCAACTGAGGGCTCAGACTTCCTGAAGACACAGTGACAAAATGCCAGAAACATCCCTGCAAACCTGCAGGTACAGCAGCTTTATAGCAGCTTTCAGATAGATCCGCATGATCCCGGTCCCACATAAGTTAACATAACCGACGTCTTCTCTCTCCTCGTGCAGGCTCTGAATCATGGGGAACGCTGAGAGCCAGAATGGGGAGCATTCCCTCTACGGTAACGGGCGTGGCTACTTGTCACGGAAGCACATGTCCCGCTCTCTCCGCCTCACCAACAAACAGTCCCGGCGCGCTCGCCACGCCTCATCGGGGAAAATAGAGCACCGGAACTCGGAGACGAGCACGCGCTCCAGCAGCACCCCCAGCATCCCGCAGTCCCTGGCCGACCATGGCCTGGAGCCCTTCAACGAGACCAATATGCTCCCGGATTTCGGAAGCCCCATCTGGGTGGACCGCGTGGCCATGAGCCTGCGGCCGGTGTCCTTCCACAGTGACCTGGCCAGTCCCTCCGAGCACATGAAAACCATGCACCTGACCCTCCCCGGGCCCACGGCGGAGGAGGCCCGGGACGAAGACGTGTACACCCCCGAGGTGAAATACCTCCAGGAGACCCGGGAGTGCTCCAAAGACGCCGTCAGCTTCAAAAAGAGGTCCAAATCTGCCGACATGTGGCGAGAGGACAGCCTGGAGTTCTCCCTGTCCGATGTCAGTCAAGACCACTTGACCAGCACCGAGGAGATCGTCGACATGTCCAACGAGAGGGACCTGACCGACTGCGAGGGCCAGCTGCAGTCCAGCCCCGCGGAGTCCGCCGACAGGGCCAACTCTTTGGACGAGCTGTACAGCGACACCTCCCCGGCCTGCAGGCAGCCCCACGCCCGCTACGCCAAGTGGCACGACACCGGCAGGGCCGTAAGGGAGGGCGAGGACGATAAGATACTCTCCCCGTCAGAGGAGGATGGGAACACTTACGGCGCGTATACCCTGCCCTGTAGGCGCTCCCACTGCCTGTCTGAAGGCCTGAGCAGCCATCAAGCCCCCCTGTGTGCAACCATGCAGGGCAGGAGAGCACAGACCATACAGGTAAGACCCGGGATACCTCATCCCTACCCTACTAACTCGATAACAAGTCGTATTTAACGGTGGCACGGATTACGGACAGTAGAGCAAATGTCTCTTGAATAACGGTCAGGGAGGTTTCTGTGAGCAGAACTGATTGGAGACAACAGGCGTCACCTGTTGGACATCTTGCCTCCGTTTGTTTAAACCACCTTGGAGTTTCTTCAGCTGCATTCACGCGAAAGATAGCGATTGAGCGTAAAAAGAAAGCTGCGAAGAGCTGTTTCCTGATGAAACTGTCGGTTTTCTCGGGAGAGGAGTGTGCGGGGACGGGAGGGGGGGGAGATCACAGCTTAAAGTCACTCCCCGATAGAAATGCCCGGGCCCTTTTGTTATGGTAATCGGGGAAGGCCTGTGGAAGAGCAACAGTAAAATGTGTGTGGTGGGCCTGTCACCACGGGGCACCGTCAACCTTGGTGAATGGGACTCTGGAACGCATGATTGGGTCACGTGACCATATGGGGATACCGAGCTTAGTGTAACCCCCTTCATCTCCCAGGAGCCTGCGACCATGTGGGGAGGAGAGGGCAGACCCTACGGTGCCACAGTCAGGACTCACGCAACAGCAGAAGCTCTTGCTGTTTGTCATTGTTTTTAAGTAGATTATTAGACCGGATTATCATTTTTAAACATATGCTTTTGTGGCTGATTTCGATTACGAATATGCTTCTTTTCTGTAGCTACACAGATCGCCTGGTTGTCTACCAGAGGACCCGTTGAGGGCCTGTCCTCTTAGTATTGAGGAAATCCTGGTCGCCATGTCTTCTCACCTGTCTTCTGCCTCCTCCGCCGTTCAGGACGTAACCGGCGGGGAGGGCAGCGAGTACGAGGACAGCGGGATCGACGGGGTGATGGTGGAGGCGGAGCACCAGTCCCGCCGCTACAAGACCATGTCGGCCTCCTTCTCCGTGTGCTCCATGCACGGCCGGAACATGTTCGCCGGCAGCGACAGCGGCAGCAGCGGCGGGGGCGGGGCCAGCGAGTGCGTGCAGGGGGTCTACGAGAACTTCCGGCAGGAGCTGGAGATGAGCTCCTGCCAGACGGAGAGCCTGGAGGAGGCCGGCTCCGCCCTGAGCGACGAGCAGAGCACCATGAGCTCCGCCTACCAGTCCGACCTGCTGCTCAGCATCGTCCAGGGGATGGTGCGCAAGGCCGGGAAGCTGGCCGTCAAGAACTTCCTCGTGCATAAGAAGAACAAGAAGGTGGAGTCAGCCACCAGGCGCAAGTGGAAGAGTTACTGGGTTTCCCTGAAAGGTGCGTCCCGTCTTTAACGTGGCCATAACGTTTGCTTTATTGCACACTATTCGGTAATGCCGTTATTTACGGCGCACGCTCATTCTCCGGCTTTAATTTCTTTAACAGCAGCTCGATTCAATCCAAAATACATTAATCTAATTTAAAGTCACCGTCTGTGACTTTAAATGGAAATTATAATACTTTTTTCAGTGATGTGTCTGCAAGGCTGCACTTCTTAATCTTGGCCACTGGAGAGCAGAAGTAAATTGCTTGAGAGACTCTGAAGACAAAACAAAAATGCCATTATTTTTCATTCCCTGGGATTTGAGCCAGCAACGGTCTGTCCTTTAAAGTAAAAGATTATTTTTGTTGTTGTTTTCCAGGCTGCACTCTCTTCTTTTATGAGACTGATGGGCGTTCAGGAATTGACAACAACAGTATTCCCAAGCACGCCATCTGGGTCGAGAACAGTATTGTCCAGGCTGTGCCCGAGCATCCAAAAAAAGACTTTGTGTTCTGCCTCAGCAACTCCTTAGGAGATGCATTTCTTTTCCAGGTGAGAAAAATCTTATCACCAGCCTCTCCTACAAACAAATGCTGGCATAGACAGGAATCTTAAAAACTGCCTGAGTGTTACCAAGAAGAATAGAACAATCTAGCTCGGAGATGAGTCATTTTAAATGAAAGGGTTTGTATTGGAAGGCCAGTCACAAACATGGGCAGTCATATATTTCTTTTTAGGATTTGAAAACCAGTGCTCCAGCTTAGAACTTCAAATGTGTACATGTGATTAGAATTGCAAATACATTTTGGGTTTAACATGTTGCTTTGATTAATCTTTAATGTAAGAGCCGTGTAAGATATAAACAAACATCTCATATTCCAGCAACGCAAACAAATTAAGGACAAATAATGATTAGTGTAAAAACTTACATCAAACCGCCATCTCATTAAATGAACAAGTACAGGCTCCCAGGCATTAATGAATCTATGCTTTAGAAATGAATATAAGTCTGCTTTAAAGACTGATATGATCTTGTGTGAATGCTTGTAAAATTGATAAGTTTTCTCTTAAATACTCTAACTGCACCAATGCACAGCTAGGATCTAATAGGAATAGTGACTCTCCTTTTCTAAGCTGGTCAAGAGGCCACCTCTTGTAGGCTTTCTCATTGACAATATGCTCAAAAGCTCATTAGGTGGGCCACATACAGGCACGAATACATGCATTATGGCACTGCACGCTGGTCAGCACTGCTCCACTGGATCTAATCCTCAGTACAGTCCTGGAGTCCTGTGGACCAGCAGTATCTGGAAGAATACTTTCCTTTTGTATTCTTTTGAACTTGGATGGCCGCAGAGCTAACGGCAGCTTTCTGTCCCAACGCAGACCTGCAGCCAGACGGAACTGGAAAACTGGATCACGGCTATCCACTCAGCATGCGCCACCGCGGTGGCCCGGCAGCACCACAGAGAGGACACGGTTCGACTGCTCCGTGCCGAGATCAAGAAGCTCGAGCAAAAGATCGACATGGATGAGAAAATGAAAAAGATGGGAGACATGCAGCTGTCTGCTGTCACTGAGAGCAAGAAGAGAAAAACCATCCTGGATCAAGTAAGTTCTACACCCCCCTTTATTAAATCTTGTCTTCATCTGAGAGGGAAACTCCTTTTAATGTTTATTGGATTGCTTTTCAAACTGGCCTACGGCAATTAAGGACTATTCTAAAAGCATAATAAGCTATGTTTTGTATATTTATGCTATACATGACATGTAAAGTAGTATTGATATGAAATAAAGGATTGTAAGAGAATTGGGGAACAGCATGAGGAGAATTGAGAAAAGGATGTCAGATATTGCCCACTGGAGACTATTGATGCTACTCATTTATCAGCCCACAAATGACCCGTCCCTATCTCTTTTTATGAGCAATGCAGTTGGAGATGTTCATGTGCCCTCCATTTTCTTAATGAATCGCAAAGCTCATCGTGTCTTTACCAGGTCTGGCTACAAAGAGAGAAGATCAAACGCTCTTTGTGCAGTCCGTGAAGGGGTGCCTGGCTGAAACCGTTCAGTCTGCCAGTGTCAGCTTTCAGATTGCAGAGTGTAGCTGAATGGAAATAAGGGGTGCTCCTCCGAAAGCAGCCAGAGCTGAAACGCTCCCAGCCTCTGTGTGCCAGTGGAATGCGCAGCATTGTTTTCTTCGTCTCTGGGTTACTTGGCAGTAAAACCGGGCCTTTAACCATGGTGACGGCCACCTCTTCCAAGCACCAGTTCAGGACCGTGACTGGGAGGGGGCGGCCCAGTGAATAATGACAATGTCCTGCTCTACTGCCCCAGTGAATATCAACCATTAGGCAGCCAGGGTGCAGACTGGCATCGCTCTGAGAAAAAACATAGCTAACCCAGCTTTTCTGGGAGGAGAGGCCATGCTTTATCCTGATCCCAAGTTGACAAACAAGAGCCTTGATGACCGTTTGTGTGGATGTGTTCCCGTGTCCCTCTTGTCTTGCAGATATTCTTGTGGGAGCAGAATCTGGAGCAGTTTCACATGGATCTGTTTCGCTTCAGGTGCTACCTGGCCAGCTTGCAAGGAGGGGAGCTCCCCAACCCCAAACGCCTCCTGGCCTTTGCCTCTCGCCCCACAAAGCTGGCCATGGGTCGACTGGGGATATTCTCAGTCTCCTCCTTTCACGCGCTGGTAGCTATAATCTTTTTGTAATTTGTTATAGAATTTTCCAAGCTTGCAGTAACTTTGTGTTCAGCTAATAACCTTTTTGATATCTGTTGAAACCGGTTCATACTGGAATGTCTGATGACTTGCTGAAGTATGCTTCAGCAACATTGGCTTTAACTGTTGAAAGGAGCTAACTTGTAACCTTTTAGTCTCAAGAGAGTCTTAACCTTAATCTGCTCCTGTACTGAGCAAAGTTTGTTTGATTTGAAGGTTTGCAGCATTGCTGTATCTCCTTCTCAATACACTCCGGCATCACTGAGTTCGCCAAGTGACTCCTCTACCCGGGAAATTGATTCCACAAACCGAAATGCTTTGTTCGAAAAAGCACGTTTTTCTGCAGCGACGGCTATTTTGGAAGCAGGGTCTCTCACAGGGGCACCTTGGGAGGTTTTTGTTTCATATCGGCCTCCTACTGCTGCACCGGGGTTGTGCTCTCTAAATATAAAAGCGACTGTAGCAGAGAAAAACATCTATTTGATTTTTGAACATCACTGAGGTACTTTTTCTCTCACCACTGCCACCAACGCAGTGCTCCAGAGCACGTGGGCGTAAAAGCTGTGAGATTGTAGATCGGGATGTCAACCAAGAGACGACTGCTAATAGCTGCCCTGCAGTTTCTATCCTCTAATTTGCTCATCCTCATACCCATCGGCACATGCAGCCACACTTGGTCCAAAATGGCTTTTGAACATTGACAGGATGAAAAGAAAGAGTGCCAAAGTTAGGTTTAGACAATGGTTGTGCAGTTTTAATGTTTTCTTCATCCTCTTTTATACATAATTTTGCTAAAAGGCTAAAAATTCTGCTTTATTATGTGTAGAAGTTTGGCCAGTAACATCTGGTCCTCCTTTTATTTAGTATAATATTTGTTGAAAACTAGTTAAATTAATCTTATTCTTTGGCTTTGTCTTCGTTCTTGCTGAGATTGTACATAAACCATGCTGTAACATGAATTGTAACACAATTCAAACATGCTATTTTACAGTTTTTTTCAATTGGTTTGTTTTTATTGCCGTGCTGCAGGATGTTACTGAGCTGCATTTAGTCAAACTTTTTCTGACATGTGGCGTAATGTTAGATTCAACAGATTTCTTTGTAAGTGCCTTTTGACTTACGTGGGTCCTGAGTGTTGCTTTCTCTGTTGCAGGTGGCCGCTCGCACAGAGACAGGAGTGAGGCGGCGAACGCAGGCCATGTCCCGCTCCTGCAGCAAGCGCAAGAGCAGGTTTTCTTCCCTTTGGGGTCTGGAAACTACCTCAAAAAAGAAGACAAAAGCCCACCCTACAGTCAGCCAGGTGTGTGCTGAAGTACAAGTTGTACATGTTGGTGTGCAACAACAGATCTGACCACATAAAGATGGGTTTTCTTCCTTCCATAAACTATAATTCCTCGCTTTTCTTTTTCCCTTCTAGGTTTTTGCTGATGGTGAAGAGCCTGAGAAGAAGCATGTTGATGGCATATATGTTGATCCCCTAAAAGAAAACACTGTAAGGAAGAATGATCCGTTCTCTGTTGAATGAATGAATCAATAAGGAGTTTTTATAAAAAAAAGTGTTAGGGTTGAATGTCATTTCATACATAAACCACTTAGAATAGACTTCTTTTAAAACAAATGAAATAAAAAAAACCTTAATATTGTATTAATGGGTCAATAATGATAGAAGCATCCCATTCCGTTATTTGTAATAGTTGTAACATACCTTTAATGGCTGTGTTGAAAGAAAAGCGAGGAAGGAACCGTAAAAAGCTTTCCACGACCCAACACTGAGAGCGACATCTGGGTGCCCGACCACCTCACTCCGTCCTGGGTCAGCCTGCCAAATGACCAGCCTGTGTTAGCCATCATCCAGCCAGGGGAGTCCGCACTGTGTGTTCTTGAGTCCATCTGCAAGGTAACAGAACCAAGCCTTGAAATATGCAACCTGACCATGATTCATTTCGTTTTTTTGCATGTGTCTCCATCTAATGGATGATATGTTTATCCGGTTAACAATATTTAACCAGATAAAGGCTGGTTTTGCCGGGAAGTAATGTCTCCTTTTTGTACTCTTTGCACAGGCTCATGAGCTGGATCCAACCAAACATTACTTAAGACTCAAATTCCTCATTGAAAACCAAGTGCAATTCTACATTCCCAAACCAGAGGAGGATGTGTGTGACTTGGTGAGTTTCTTGTTTGAACCCAGTCTTAGCCTCCTGAATCCATTTCAGGCTATGCATTTTTTTTGTCTTTGATTCTACGAGTTTCCTGTTTCCACATAAGACAAAACATTAAGTCATGCCTATAGAGACCCTTCATTCAAACATCTGTAATTATGACATAGTACACAGCAGCCTTCATGAAGAACTGCTTTGTCTGAGAACTCAGAACATGAACGCTCACTTTTCCTGCTGTCAGTAACCCACCCACCACAGTGACTAAAGTCGGCTAGTGTCTGATGATTAATATAATAACTTCCTTTTGTCCTTTACAGCTTTACAAAGAAATCGAGCTTTGCTCCAAAATAACAAAAGTAATCCAGTTTGACAGAGATGAATCTTGTATGATTGGTTACGGTAAGATTATTTCTTTCTTTTCAGTCTCACACTGCAGAATGTGTTCATATTTTTATGTTCTTTGACCCACTCATGATCTGCTTTGGAGAAGATTTCCACATTCAGATGTATTTTAGTCTCACTTGTATCTCTGAACTCTCTGTGCCTCTCCTCTTTTCCGCCAAAGGCTTCTCCATTTCGGTGGTGGAGGAAGACGGAGTACAGCAGCTCTACATCACAGACGTGAAGGCAGGCGGATTGGCCTTTGCTAAAGGTTCATTTCACTTCTTTTTTTTCTCTCTCTTGTGCTCTCATCTTGTCTGACAACAAACAACTGACAGCTGGAGAAAATAAAAACACGGCTTGCATTTACCAGTTCGGAGAACTGATGAAGGTAGAAATACATTTCCCTGCATTAGAACAAGCTTATTCTACAGGTAGGGAGGCCTTTGGAGGGAAAGTTACTTCTAAAGGACGTTGATTACTATAATCATAACCACGCTGCATTTCAATGGCTTTGATGAAAGACGATGCTGATTATAACGCTTAACTGCTTTACATTGGCGGCTCTGCTTAAGTCATTCCTCAGATTTGTGCGATGTAAAGATGTTGACTTCAGTTATGTGCACGGCATACGGTGAGATATCTGCACACTGAGCCAATATTGGACTCTCAAAAAGAAGAAGAAACCGGTCACAATGATGGGTCTGAATGAACAGACTAAAGTCAAACTTTGCACTTATTTTGTTGTTTTGTCTTCTAAAGCGCATTCGTCTGAGGAAAATTAAGCAATTTTATCAACTGTTTGTTGTCGTAACAAGTGTTTAGCAAGTGCTAATTACATTGGATGTGAAATTGGATCTTTTTGGTGTTTCTGCTTTGCAGGATTGAATGCCGGGGATGAAATACTTCAGCTAAATGGGAAAGACTCCCACAGTCTCAATTTCTCTGACATGAAGGCTGCGTTCTCTCAAGCCTCCCTGGCTTTGGCGGTCAACACCCTGCCATCTGTGGACCGCCGTCAGCTCTGCTACCTACCGCCGCGCCGCTCCGATGCTTCAGACGATCTCTACACGGACATCTTCTCCCAGAGCCAAGGTGAAAATAAAGCCCCACATTTTAACCTGGTACGAGCTAAGGCTTCCTTCACTAATTTACGACACGTGGCACTTTTATGAACCGCAACGGTTCCCTGAAAACTAACTATAACTCCCAAACAGCACAAACTGTGTGTTAGAGCTGTGAACTCTCATTGTGCAAATGTTTACCAGTAAAAACGAAATGGATCAACATCACAAAGGAAGGAAATTTCTTCCCACCAAGCAGACAGGATTTCTCAGCTGTGTCCTTAGTGAGATCAGTTTGATTTATGCAAAAACTGAATCTACAGGGTCTTAATTATATAGGACAGGAGGCTCTGAGCAAATTAGCGCTGTCAGACTCTGTGGATTATTTTCAGATGGTTCTAATTTTAAAAGGGAAAACAGCAACAAAGAGAGAAAAAGAGTGATTTGAAAGTTTGATTCCGCTCATATTTGACTTTTTATGCAGAGGAAATCCTGGACGATGGCGTGGGGCTGCTGCTGGAGAGTTCCGGAGACAGCCTGGATGAGGATTCTGAGCTCTTCAGCGAGTTTGATGAGTGCAGGAAGGTAGGTCCACAGAAAGCACGCCGCAGCAGAAACCGTGGTTGTGTTCTTATTTTTGTCCATCACAGCATCCCTCTCAGCTTTGTGTTGTTTTGAAAAAAAAAAAAAAAGCAAACAAAAAAACACACTAATGAACATTTTGTCTCAGCACAGTTTGAGTCACCATCTGTTACTGGTTCTTTTTTTTTTCTGGTGTATAGAAGCAGTGCAGCTTCCATCCATGTTTGCGTTACATCTCGATATGTAAAAGCCTTTACCGGGTTTGTTTTTTCCCTTTCGTGATGCAAAGCTGCGACAGAATAGAGAAGTCTTTGACATAATTAAATCATCCAAACCTAAGTATTGATAATTGCCTTCATTAAAGAACAAATTGGATATTTTGCTCATGGAGACCTGAGGCGTTACAGAACATTCCCTGTGAAAGGAACTGCTCTGTGGTAGATGTGTCTTTGATTAAGCTCCTTTCTTAATTGCTTGTGTGGTTGGTGTGTGATTGGGAGGGTAAAGGATTATGTATTCATTTTAACAGCAAATTGACAGAAACGCATTCTTATTCCTGAGAGGCAAGACAAGCAAAAAAAAAAATAACGTTGTCTATGCTCTGCTATTGCTAATGAGATGGCAACATTTTCTTACACCGACTGAATGAAATGGGTATCACTAATGGGACACTTTCTAATATTTTCTCTGTAACTGACTTCAGAAGGACAACTTAAGGCAATATCTCATTACTAAATGTATTTTTTTTAAAAGGCTTCTTTCAATGGTCCTTGTGTGTTTGTATGTGTGTGTGTGTGTGCGCGCGTGCGTGTGTGTGTGTGTGTGTGCGTGCGTGTGTGTGTGTGTGTGTGTGTGTGTGTGTGTGTGTGTGTGTGTGTGCGTGTGTGTGTTTCTCTTTATCATGTGCTGTGGAATAGAGGCAGATCTTTGAGTTCGTCACATGTCGCTTTTTTTATAATGTTAGCTATGCTCTTTCATTTGTGGGTTTATCCATTTGTTTGGGATAATATTGAGCTTATTTCAGTTAGCTGAGTTTTGGTTGGCTGTGTTTAGTGTTTACGATCAGAAATGTTGAAAGAGTAATAACTGGCACCAGACGTTTTGCAAATGGGAGATACAGTGCAGCTAACACTGTATCTCCCATTGAATAATGTGCTTTGAATAACAACAATCACTACTTTTTTATGCTTTAAACTAAACAAAATGTTAAGGCCAGGACTATGAGTCCTGACAGTTTGTCAGGATGGAAATATTCACATTGTTCACCTGGGACACAGATTTATCGTCACAAACAGCTCCCACGGTCAGAAGAAGCCTAAAAGAACTGGCCTGTAATAAGTGTCCGGACTATAAATGGTCTAACCTAATAGTGATATTTTTGTTAGTGAATTTATATTGAATATAATTCTAAAAATGGAAGGAGCATTGCTTTTCTCTTTAATTATAGGGGTGGCATCATAGAAAAATTGATAATGTTCAAATTTACTGGTTGAATAAGTCCACTTGAGAGCTCCAGCACATCTGCATGCATTACAGTATGAATAGTATGTGTATGGAGAAGTAAGAAAGAGGCAATTTCCCGGACTTCTGATCTAATCACAGATGCCAATTCCCCATCTCATTTACGATGTACTGTCAACTATTTCCCCTGCAAAACCCCTCTACATCAGTTTTCCTTTATGATGTCCTTGATATTCTGTAGCTGACTCCTATGCAGCCCCCACCAACCCTTTTTCTCAATCCCTGCATTTATATTCTATTGCTGTGTTGCTTACCCAGCCAATCCCACTCCACTGCAACCTTGAGGACGGAGCTCCTTTCCCTCCCGCTGCTCTGCTCTGAGTCCAGTCGGGGGGTGGGGGTGGGGGGGATTATGGAGACTCATTTACAATGGAGCCCGAGTTGGCCGCATATTCTCCCTCACAGTTACAATGTGTGCCCGAGTTTGCTGAGGCTGTAGAGAAGAGGGAGAGAGAAAAAACCGGCAGAATACTGGTGACAGAGGAACAGCAGACTGTGAGGGCGCAAAAGAAGGGGAGTTGGAAAGGCTGTAAGTGCTGGTGGGCGGAGAGGAGGAGGCTGAGCAGCTTCACTCATCCTTCCTCACAAGCACCACAGCACCTTCTTTTATAAAACAAGGAAGACAAAAGGGGGTGAAAATGTGCTGGAGAGGCTCAGTGCAGACCTAGTTCTCTTTCTCTTCGGCACTTTAATTGACGCCGATTGTCCGGCAGCGCCTGCTATGTCCGTCCTGAAGTGGAACAAGCCCAGAAAGCGCTCGTCAGACTCCATCTATGACATGCTTCATCTGGTGAGATCCCTTCGATGCATCTCTCTTTTAACACCGGTTCCTGTTGTTGTAGCTGTTGTCTTAGTTAAGGGGTGCAAAAGAAAAAACAACCCCCCTTTCCTTCTCCACATTTGTTTCACACTCCGTCTTGGCTGCTAAAGACAGGGAAGCTGTGAGTCATCGTTGTGTCGCAGAGTTGCCCCACGATCACTGGAGTGCTCCACCAGATCAGAAGAAAAATAAATCACGGCGTGCACGAGCTTGTTTTTCTGCAGATCTGACCCCGGACAACTTAGACTTCACACGACTTTGGCAAACTACCTCGAGCATTGTTGCAGTGTTTCGGCTGTCAGGCTGTGATCTCGAGCCTCTGGGAGCTTCAGAGGGACAGATATGAAATCTTCCCTCTGTTTCGCAAGTGCTTTAATGTTTGCTGTTTCATCTATATTTTATAAGATAGGGGATATAATTGACTCCGGCGCCTCGCTTTCGCCCAGGATAGTGATTTCCATATTTTTCATATGCTGAGATACCAAAGGCTTTGTTCTTTCTTCCTGTGTTCTTGCAGCCTCTCTCTGCCGTGTCACTACTGAGAACCGTGTTCTCAGAGCTGGGACTGTGTTAATTGCCAGGACTTGTGAGAAGTATGACTGGACTGTGACTGTCTTTGTGTTCTCAATTAAACTGGACGAGCTTAGCTGACTAAACAGGTGGGAGAATGAGACGCATTTGTGGTCCTATTGTAACTCTCAGAAGACTTTTGCATACATGGAATACGTGAAATGACTTAATAAATCTGCTAAAGGTTGGAGCAGTCCTCTGTTTCACGGTTCATGAGCCATTGGGGTCCAGGGTTCATACCGAGTGGTAAAAGGTCACATTTGCATTCATGGCATTACATTACTGTTACAATACATACTGGCCGATGTTATGTTTTGTTTGGAGGGAAATTTAAATCACCTTTTTTACCAAATCACATTTTTAAAAAACTTGTTTAAAGGGTTTAATGTACAAAACTTTTGAGCATTTGCTCCGACGCGAACAGCCGGTGGCTGTGCTTAATAATGGCATTCCTACAAGAGTCACTCACTTACCACCCATTGAAATGTGAGCTACTCTGCTTAGTGTTGTGGAAGCCAGATGGCATTAACACCATGTACCAGTACTCAGTTGTAAAGCTATGGCATAAACAACATCGATCTCATGTGCGGTGATGAGCTCATAGTCAAAGATATTACTTAGTACCAGTCAAAGTTTTAGACACATGTCCTTTCATTTTGAATGACCCAACATGTGCACACTTTTGACTGGTGCTGTATCTATAGATACAATTTTTCTGAACTTTTTCTTGGCCAGTGATATTGATAAAATCGCTACATATAGCTCACTGTGCTGTGCAATAACTCTTTGCACGCACAATCTCAGAGCATCATAATAGATGATATCCAGAAGCTCTGGTGCAGATTTAATACACAAAACATCCTCATGAAAAATGTAGAGTATATCATTCTTGTGCTTTTCAATTCTCAAAGCAGTACATTTCAAGTCGCAGTTTCCAGTCATTGGTTTTTCACGGGTCTGAGTTGAATTAGAAAAATGGTAATTATAGAAAATGGGTTGAATGAATGAAATTCTGGTCTGTTTTTTTCTATTCTTTGAATTTTAACACATACTTTTATATACTTTTAACACAAACTTTCCTCAATTTCCCATCATTAATTGAGCTACTTTTCAGCTCTTTATATCATTCATTTTTAGTAATTGTATTTATATATTTAATGAAAATTAATGATATACATTTACAAATTTACTACAAATAAAGAGTAATAATTCATGCAAGTTAATACAATATCGCCGCTATTAGATATCTAGAAAAAGAGTTGTTGTAGACCAATTATTGACTTGATAAATAATCAAAAGTTTCTAAAGCCTTTTTCCGGATGCACACATAGTTTAGCTCTGCATGCCATCGAAATGATTTTGACACCTCATTATTAGCACATATGACATCAGAGCTGCCCAGTTTCTCCCACTTCAGACTAAACAGAAAATACAGTTTCATGGTGAAGTTTTATTTATTAGATTTATTAAATCTACAGCCATTACCAACAATACATGTGGTAGCTGCTGAATCACAAATGGCTGCCGTGCCTCACATGTGATTGTTTGCTCGATTAGATAACAATGTTGATAATCCTGTCATTTTGAAGGCTGTAACTGTCATTGAGTAACAAGCTGTTCTAGTTTCTACTTCCTCTTTTCTGCTCAGTGGTGAATTCTAAAAGAAAAATTAGGATAGAATTAATATTGTTGTTTTGTTTAGTGTATTCTAGTTTATTAATAAGACATAGGTGTCCTAGGTCTGAGATTAGTAGACTGACAGTAGCTCAGATCTTAATTAAGATTATTTTTATCTCAGAACTCTAATGTTCCATCCTCTGCAGAAGTGTGGAGGCTATACTATAATTATTTCTCAGAGGAACTACTAGGTGTGAATAGATAAGTTTGCCTTTGCCAAGTCTGTGAAACACCAGAAGGCAAAAGCATCTTAGTTCCCGGTTATGTACGTTGTGAAACCTACACCTACCAGGTTTGCCTGTTGTGTGGCCAGAAATATCCTTTCCAACTTTCCCTGTGAATCTTTTATACTGTAATATAGATCATCCCAATATTAATATTAAAAAATCCTTTGAAGGGTCTTATTCAATATTTTTTTCAATATAAAAAGCTAAAAAGGCTTTTTTTGTTGTTTCTTTTTGCTGTTTAGACTGTTGCCTCTGGCAGACAAAGTAACTGTATTTGTTCAGCCATGTAGCCTTTTGTTGAAAAGGGACTATTTTTGACCAAAATAATAGTCTAATGCACATCAGGGTCGGTCACCAAGGCAACCCATACTTTTTTGTAGACAGGCTGTTGTGTGTATATTTTGATTCTGTGAAAGAGTTCAGTCATTACACCGCTGTTCATCTGTAGGAAGAAAAACACAAGGGAAAAAGGGAAAAAGGGAAAGTCGGTGAAAGAGAGGGGGCCGGAAAGTCATAGTTATGATAGACTGAAAATAGACCAAATTAGTGCAAATGGTTTTTTTAGAGCTGCCTCTCTGCCTCTTTCCAGGCTCACTCTGTGCACAGTCATGAAACAGTGCATGTCGGTGGGTAGAGGGCTGCGCCTGCACGCTGACATCTGAAATGCCGATCGATTGCTGAGTGCATATTTCTTTTAGGGTTCTCATTCGAACGGAATCATTTATGATCTCAACTCTTTTCTGCTTTCGTTTGCAGAGTACGGAGCAGGTCGCTGCTTTCTGTCGCAGTCTCCATGACATGAATGCGCTGGAGTGTGGGTCCTCCTCGCCCAGCCCAGACTCACCCAGTCTGCCGCCCACCGCCACCACCCGCCAGCTTTCCGACGCCGACAAGCTCCGTAAAGTCATCTGTGAGCTGGTGGAGACCGAGCGCACCTATGTCAAAGTCAGTATCCCTCATCTTAACCCGTACCAGGCAGATGGTGTTCGCGAGTGCATGTGTTCATCAATCTGAGTTGTGTTTGCTATCTGTCGTAGCCCGTGCTGGCCCTACGTATTACCTGTTCTATATAACTAATCCATATTTATCTCGGCGTCCCCGGAGATATGCGGGGGACACAGCTGCGCCCTTGTCTGGATATTTTCCAGTTTTTTCCTATCTGGTATAAATGTGGCCGGCTGGAATAACTGGGTTAGTGATGGAATATAATGGGATAATGCCAAGGCTGTCTAAAGCATAATACTTTATTTCAGAGGGAACAAATATACTTATCATAGAAATTACTTTACGCATGATTGATCGTTTGCTGTAGAACCTCCAAAAGGATGGGTTTTTTTTGTCAGTTTGTTCAGTTACACATGTTAGAGGGTTTCATTGTGAACAGAAGTGGGACTCCAATTGCTTTTGCTATAA